ATGTATGATCTCGATAACTGAATATGCATGTTCTTGTTCTCCACAAACTATCAAGAGAGATGATGATACACATGCACTGGAATCTACCGGTTCCAAAATACGCGATCGAAATTCCTTTAGGCCAGTTCGACGGATTTAGGCCGGCCGACCGAGCAGGTCAAACACATGTTCATAGGCATCCAAAAAATTATTTAAATCTCTCCCAAGCCAAGGTTTATCTCACATTCATACAATATTCTCAGTCTTCATCTCCTCTCAACTACTAGCCACACATGTTTTGTTTTAAGAACATATAAAAATTGATTGTCACGCATCAAAAACAAAAGATCTTAAATACTGATCTCTTGTTTCAAAACATTCCTTATCAGAGATACTAGAAAAGGCACTTGCTTTCAGAGGATACTTGCCTCCTCGATCAGGAACTAGTCAATCGTTTGGAGGAGCCGTATTTTACAACTGTAGCTATCTCGAGGAACCGTCGATAAACTGTTGGAGAGAAAACAGATTTAGCGGAAACAATATGGTATGCACTTGCATTTGCAAAGTTTGATATTGTTATTGTAGCTTGGGGCGGAGGTTTAAGGCAGGCGTCAGGTTTGACGTTTTGTATGTATTTGTAAAGTTTTGTTGTTAGAGGCGCATCGAGTTAATTGTATTTTGTCTTGATGCTCTTAGGATTTGTTTTCGCAATATTTGTCTGAATGAATAAACCTTTAGATCCATCGCGGGGCACCATAATACCTTGAACTTATACCATGATCGAAACTCATGTGACTGTCCCTTTTTATCTTTAAAGGTATCGTTTTTGAATCATTCAACTTGACTCAGATTTTCACAGCTTTATAGAAGATTGAAGCCCTAACAGAATAATTACTTTCATTCCTTACTCTGTATGGTATTGCATCCATTCCCATGTCCTCCTAAGCCATCTGCAATGGACTGGTTCGCCTGATATCTATATACACAATCAAATAAAAGAAAGAAAAATTGAAGACCGATGTTGTATCGTTTGCCTCCATGTCTTCAAATTGGCAAAAACAAACTGCACCAACAACTCCTGTTAATGTCGCCAAACGAATCTAAAAACTTTGAATGGGTATTCATCGTCTAATGCTGATCAATGCATGGACTGTTCGAATATCGGCCGCTAGTTGAATATGCAAAGAGATACGATGATGATGGTTGGTGGGAATCGTGAGCCAAGCGGAAAAGTAAATATTCTCCCGACGAGTCGCAACTTTCCATAACGTATGCTTATTAACGCCATTTGTAACTCCATCGGCATCGTCCAAGAAAATCCTCCTTCCATCTCCAGATTTCGATATCCATTTCCGTTCACTTTATGTCGTATTTTATCTCCTGTCTCGTCGCACATTTCCACCATCCTCTTATCAAACCTGTCTCGGGAGATGCATCTTCTGCTCCCATCATGTCTAACTCCAATCTTTCCTCTCCTATATCAAAATTCTATTCGACTGTCACATCCCTCTAATGACTTTTCCCAAACATTGCGGTAGGTAAAGCTCTCTTGTTTTTAACAGTTCCAACGGTCCCTTCAATAGTTCCTAATCCCACACTGCCGGCCAGAGGAGTAGCTCCAATCGCCCAAGTTCCCAGCGCTGTTGTTGCAAAGGTCTGCGTATATACTGGTATGTATGAGACAGTCGTGACGCTACCGACTGTATAAAGTGATGGAGCCGAAACAGTCGTGGTTGCCATCTGCGTGGCTGCTAACGTAGCAACCACACCACCTAAGCCTGCTTGTGCATATGTGAGGGCTGGAAGAAAGGCGAGGAGGGATAAAGTGTACGTCGAGGAAAGATGCATAGTTGTGATGATGGTCTTGAGATGCAATGAGGTCCGGTAAATCGAAGACGGATCGTTTTCCTATGTCGGAAAGGCCGTAATGAAATCTTAATTCAAATCCTGTCGTTAATGTGACGTATGGTGATATCAAAAATTTCAGATATCTGCTGTTTTGTTTTCGCTATGGTTATCGTAATCAATTGATAATTTCGTGTCCGTTGGTTAGGAAGTTCGTAATCTCTTCGTAAATTGTTATGTCGCAAATGGTACGAATCTCTAAACTTACTATTCTTACTATTCTTGGAAGTGACTAACGTGAAAGGGGCCAAAAGTGGATACGTAGCCACTTTTGTGCATCTGCTAATCTTAGCCAATGTGGCTTTATAGATTGTGGCTCATAACAGCGGCGTTTCCTGCGAATCCCTTTGGCGACGCTGAACAGAGTGAAAATCGATTTAAAATCTTACCATCAATCACTGTTTTGATTTCAAAGTTGAAAAAGAATCAATCTGAATGTATATTGAAGTTTCAAAAGTATCAAGATATAAAATACCAGTGTTATTCAATTTTGAAAATCACTCAAGGCCGTTTTCGTTTTTTAGGCTCGCGAAGCTACTCTCGATGTTAAATCGTTGAATCTTCATCTGATTGCTCTCAATTCAGACTAGTGCCCCATACATACTAGTTATGTGTATATAAGACATTCTTACTTACTATACAGAGTAAACTTCATATTGCAAACCACCTTTTCCTAACTGCGAATTTAGAGTAAAGCATTTGGAAAAATGTAATTCGGCCCTGAGAAGGATAGCGGTGCCAAGGTCAATAGCTGCAATGAGGGCCAGCTGAAATGAAGTTTTAATCGATCACTGGGAGCAAACTTTCCACAGACATACTGCTATATATTTTCTCCCATTTTAATGGTGTTTGAACTCAAAGATGTTTGGACCCTGAAGTATTCAGCAATTTTCAACTAACGTGAAGGCTTCTGGTGTCTATCACAGCCCTCAAGCGGAATTCTCAATGTATATAAATCTTTTAAGGTAGGGATCTTGTCGAACCTCACGGCCCAGTATAAAAGGAATGATCGTTATCGCCATCTAGCATTGTTCTGGATCTGATAGCTTTTGAAAGTGTCGGTAATAAAAATGTTGTTGTGGAGGTTCGTTATGTGTGTATGTATCATTTTTCACTCGAGGCTTCCAATTCCCATGTGAGATCAAGGACGCCAGGAAAGAAAGGTGTCCCAGTTTCTAACAGGCTATGTATGTCTAACTTCACTAATAATCATACAGGCTAGGTGCTTCAGTAGGGGTTATGTGATTGCTATTGCTCGTCGTGCTGATCTCACAAGCGGGTAATCCAACCGTCCTCTCCAATACCGATAGGTTCCCCAGCCTTTGATCTCTCGCTCCCAATCCCTTCAATCCTAGCTGAATATTGAAAGCAAATACGATGCAAGCAGAACAAAAGAAAAATAGAATGAATAAAAGAGTAAACAACAAAGCTTGAACTAGCCTATTAATCTAGGTTATCTTCGGCTAGTGGGAAGCGAGGGCATATACTTGATAGATAGCTGTGAGATTTAGTAAGATATTTAGCTTTGCGGCCCTTTTAGTAGTGTCTAAAAGTCACGGTATAGCTTCGAAAGGTGTCCTTCCTGGAAAGGTCATGATAGCTTTTCCAATTTTGCAAAAGTGCAAGCGGAAGGAGAGTTTTCGTTTTCGCATGAGCAAAGCACACGAGCATTTTCTAGGCTGTCTCGCTGCTCAGTGAGTGCCCGATGAGCAGACAATGTATGATGTAGGATGATCTGCAGCGACGCCACGGAGATGGAAATTACAAAGCGCTATATATCTTTGATATATCGAAAGCCATAATTTTCAGTTGAGCCACTCTACCCCTCTTCAATTCATACAGTATATGGTATATACCCCCGCATAGCCTTACATTATTGGACTTTGGATGTGTCTCATCATTCCGGGGTTGCCGTCTTCGTACTGGGTGCATGGTGCATAGAGCAGGTTGCATAGCCACGATCATGAGTCTGCCTCGCCCTACCTTATAAAAGAGATATGTGATATGACTTGTTGAATCATAAATTGAGCTTAGCTCTGCTTGCGCTTACCTCGTGATAGCGGGGTGGATACCTCAGCCCTTGTAAGCACCTGCCATAAAGGGGATCTAGTCTCGAGCTAGTTTACCATTCTGTGGTACGTGCTAGTTTATCCGAGTTACCCGTCAGATAGGCGCCAGGTGGAGTAAAGATCAGATATGATGTGTAGGTAAAGCTACGAATGTTCAACGTTGCTTTCCAGTCTCTGGTTCGATTGTAGCTTCCCACAGGACTTTACATTTGTCTTTGATACTTTCCAGCTAGGGAACTTGGGAACTTATTGGAAAGGTGAAATTCTGAAGTCTTTTTGCTATAGAATAAAAATCACATTTCCTGAACTTATAGCACATTAGACGCCGTTTCGAGAGGCGAGGAATGTATTGATCTCGGTTACACTCGGATGCATGTCTTGGATGAGTATGCTGGCAAGTACTAATGAGGGTTGGGTCACTCTCATTCACGAGTTCCGGCGCTTGAAATACGGCAAGAGAACCGAAAAATGTTTAAGACGTGATGTGACCTGTGTGAATGATAATGCTGTGGTGAAAAGAGTTGAAATTTAGTATTAAATCAGGGATAGCGTATGTCTATCGTTACTCATCGCAGACTGATAAGCAGTGACATTTTCCTTTTAAACTGAAGTCTTCTAATTAAAATCATTTGAACTCCAACGAAACATTAGCCTCAACCTACTAGTTATGAGGCTAGCTACAGGTATGTGCTTCGCAACGGACCAACAAGTTATGGGTCCAAAACTTTAATTCATCACTAGCCGTGCTGTAAAGCCTACCCTTAGAGCTTACTGGCGCCACTTAAAACTTCAAAACAGGAAGAACATATGCGGCCCAAGTTTGAAGGTTCCACCGAGAAATTTGGGAATTCACGCTGGCTCGAGGCTGTTCACAGTTTCGGTTTCGAAGACCCACCTCCGGCAGTTGTCCCAGAAAATCAATGCTTGTATACTCTGCAGATTGCCCGATTATAGCCTAGCCACCTAGTCTCTCGATCAGGCAATGGGCAGAACTGGCATATTAATATGTCGCGATTCCGCACATACCTCACAATCTTCTTTCCTCAGATACATCATCTCAGCCACATACTATCACCATGCCGATGCCGTGGACTATCAACATACCGTAAGTTCATATCCCTAGACCGACCGACCGACCTTGCCGGTCACCATTTGAGGAGATAGATACAGACCAAGTCTAATCATTCCATAGAGAATCCAAATTTTTAACCATATACCGCAAGGTCGACCGGAACCTGCCGTACGTAATCGTGCTTGTTCTCCTCGGCTCGCTCTTGTTACAGAAAGTGTTTCCTCTCGACAAATCAACTGCAAACTCATTACATAACTCTCACATAGCATTGACCGCTTGCCTGTGTCACTATGTCTCTCGACGGTAAGTTTTTCACTTGCTGCTCATGTAAAGAATCAAGTAATAAGACCCGTGTGATTAGTTTGGACCTCCAATCATACTCTCCACCAGATTCACCAGGGAAGAATGAATCAATCGAGTACCAATTTCCTTAGGAGCATTTGGAGACTTGGGAGGAATGAGGAACTTTCGGCCTGGGAGTTATACCGTGAGAGAGAGGCGAGGAGGGGCGACTTGCGATTGGTATGGCGGTGATATGTAACTTTGTACTTACAGTGAGAGTATCATGATGATCGTATGTGCCATATTACTACCTAGGTAGCACGTGGCTAATATGGACAATGTCACACACAAATTGAATGAACTTTTCAACCTCAAACCAACACAGGGAAATTATGGATATAACAATCTAGTGATGATGCATGAACTATCTTACTTTTGGAATTCTTCTCAGGAGCTTGTATGCAACTACTATGTTAGGCCCAAGCTTGACCATACTTCAAGTTACTTGATCTTTGAAATACCATTGACGCGATTGTGGGAGTTGCAAGCCTTCAATACAGCTTGATTCTTCAAAGGCGACAACTATGTTACCAGAGAACTCGAACTGACTTGACCTCCCTTTTGAGGTTGGATAACAAGACTTTATGAACTTTCATTAAGTTGGTCGAATGCTTCTGACGACCAAGCTTTTTCTGCCACAGCCCAGTCCTGATTGATTCAATTCTAAATGCCACGAAAACTAGGGGACACTGGCCCAAGGTATCTGAAGGAAGGATATACACATCTGCGACCATCGCAAACATTTCACGTTGTATTATAATATATTGATCGGCAGCATTTCTCAATCTTGGGCGACACTGCGACTGACTATGCTAAGTTTTCTTGTCAACTTTCATACAGGTCGATTGACATCGAGAAACAATTCCATGTAAAATGAGAACGGATAGCTTCAGGTTGCTAAATAGTTACTCTAGTAGCCATTCCCCATCCTGTCAATAACAAGACACTATGCTGATCGTAGCTCGCTGAGCTTGAAGAGCTCCTATTGGCCAGTCAGGCATGGTTGCACGTGATTTTACACGTGTGCTTCACGCACGTGCATAATCAGGTGCGCGCTCTCGCCATCGGTGACAAAGGTCAAGCAGATCGACAAGTTCGTACTATAATTAAATGCCTCGTGTTTCCATGGTATAGAATAGTACAGGGTAGATCGTGTAGATCTCAAGGGCTTACATTGTACTTCCTTCGTACGATGTAAACTGCCGATGCTCGTCCTGCTGAGCTCACAACCAAGTGGGTGCTACAAGGCGAACTTTGGGTCTCTGGAATATTGCTGCTGCTGAAAAAAGTGAGTGTACAAAGTGTATCTTGATATCCAATACTTTCGGGATGTTGCTCTTTCGTTTCATTTTGCCAAAAAGCAATTAATGGTCAGAAGCCTGGTTTTATTGCTATGTCTTGATATCACTCTGAGGCCAAATGCTATTGAACCGGCTTCTCCGTTATTACCATATATTTTAGACAATCAATAACCCATCAAAGGTACCCACATGACTCAAGAGACACGCACGATACGGGATCTTATCCGCTGGTAGACCTTCGATGCAGCTTTCTAGAAGGTCTATCCAAATTGTGATACATGATAGGCAGTGATAGGCAACCTGCATGAAAGCTTGGGGCAAATGTTGCTCTGATTCGTTGTACTTTTCGATGGACGGCTCACACAGGGTCGCATTTTGGGTATTATCATCGTCATCTTTTTGCAAACAGGCAAGCTTCGTGCATGTTCCGTACATTTTTAAACCTTTAAGGTTTTGCCTTCAGCCTTGTGTCTTCATCTGCATTTTCTAGCTATCTTGATGTTCAAGACATTTCATGAAGGGTTTCGGAGGAGACTGCCTCTTGAAGAAGTGGCTTATGAGAAAAAGGAAGTTCACTTCCGTGTCCTCATTTCCCAAACCTCATATCCGAAGGAAAGCGAAGTTGGTCGTCTTAAGCACAGTACAATTATAATTGGATTGTTTTCATCCGAGAGGCTGGCTGTCTCGTGTGTAGCGCTGGCTTTTTCGACTTGTAATCGGATCTACTGACTGATCGGGTCATTTGAGCCGTGTTCTTTTTCGAAACGCCCATCTACTCGTACCTGCTGCCGCTCAAACCTAAATACCAAAGCGCCTACATAGTACTTCCACAAGTTGTTTCTGTGCCTACTTGGTACTTTTCGTACCCAATCATGCATTCTTACCCAACAAATGAGTACATTTTAGTTGAGCAGCAGAGTAAAATTCCCTACTATTCTGAGCTTCTTTGCCTAGACTTGCATAATGTATTTTAGGATTGTTTCAAACTTCTTTTCTGCTCTTTCCTTTCGTTCGACCGCGACTTTAAACCCACAGATATGGTTGTTGGCACTTCATCTACAGTTAGAGAAATAGTCAAGGAGAGTATGACAGGTGATAAGAGGATCGAGCACGGCATATTTGACAAATTGATCAAAGAGCCAATCAGATACAATTATCCGTAAACATTTCACAATCACTAGAATCCTGGGCTTGAAAAACAAACCAAATTCCAGTTTGCTGGGAATGGAAATGCACACTAGGGTTTTCCTTGTGTCATTATGGATACTACCAAAGGGGGTGCACGGAGAAGCCATACTCACTCACCAATCATATCCTCTCAAAATTCGTTTTGCCACATTTTAGTCCCCCAGTCTGCAGCCCATCATCCCTTCAAATTTAATCCCTGACTACAAAATCCAGATCCAAACTTCTTAGGGTAAGCCCATCGACAGGTCTAGTACAGCTAATCAGGCTAAGGCTGAGTGATATACCATGAATTCGCCCGACCAAGGGTTTCTGGCCGGGAGATCGAAGCCTTCTAGCTTTCAAGGTCTCCCTTTAAAAGGACCGGCCAATTCTCCTAATGCTTAAACGGCATTTAGAAGCTTCGTCTTAGAACGCCCAAAATGCTCCCCTTCCCTCTTGTTGATTAATATTCACGATTTAAGTTATCGACTACTCCCCTTGGTTTATCTTTTGTTACTCAAATCCTTCAACAAACCAACAATCAACACAAGCTTACTCGAGTCAAGTTTCTTCGAGATATCACTATCAAACATTAGTTCATTCACATTGAAATTACATCACGACTCATTCTAGAAATTAGTTCATGGGCCCGTTTATCTCTTCGTGATTTACGATCCGGTTCCCTTGAAGCTGACATACTTCACGCCCATTGATGAACACATAAACGCGACTATTTCTCCTTCTGAGACCAATCTTTAATAACATTGATCTTCACTCCTCACATCTTCAACATGTTCGAAAATTTTACTTTCGGCGCGGCTCCGGTCAATTTTGATCAATGCGACAATGATGTGCAGCCATCGCCAAGGGACGACTCTTTTCCTGTATCATCATCACCTGCCACCAGCTCATATCCCTTCTTCGAGGATTACAATCCTTCGTCGCCGCTTGATGATATCATTAATCAGTTTCGAAAGCAATCTCTTTCCTATGAAGATGCAAGAGATATACAGGCTCGGCAATGCACATCTCCAACGCCTTCGTTATCAGCAGATTCGGAAATGTCTTCTCCAACCAATTCCACACGATCTGTACCAACTACGCCTACTTCCCCTTACCGGGCTGGAGTATTAGCCTGTCGGAGGCTACAACGCCAACTTAATGTGCAACTACAATGTTCCACCACTCACGTTCGCGATATCAGCACATTAGTCGAAGATATGCTTAGCAACAATTCCCAATGCAATTTGCGCAAGTCATCATCAAAACTCAGCCTTGTGCCTTCGCCCATCTCGGCTCTGGTAGTCGACCATAGTACACAAAATGATTGGAATGATATTGAGATTGAGAAAGCGAGGAGAAGATGGTTAAATACTGTCGTTAATGACGTTGACGAGGCATACATGGAAGAAGAAAGCTGGGACAGGGGAAAATGTTCTTTGTCACTTAGGAGAGCAAGTACGCCTAGTGGAATTAGGAAGCAAGGCTTGAGGTGCAGGACAAGCATGGAAAGTGTAGGAGGGGGTAGAATGAAGGTTGCTAAGGCACCAAGAATGAGGATAAGAAAGTGAAAGGTAGAAAGAGTGGATTAATAGTGGCGTTTAATACCCTGGGATATTTTGGATATGTTTGAGGGTTACTGTGAAGTTCACCGAGGTTCAACTTTTAGGTTTTGGGATTGGCGTTTGAGGGATAGGATGGGACGATAACATGGCTAAGCCACATGGCTACTTACTCCAGGGAAAGGATTGGAATTCGGACTGGTCTAAGAATTAGGTAGACGGGCCAGACATCTTTCCTTAATCACCTTGCTGGCCTGGGTTTGCTCAAACATATACCCCGGAATTTTGGAGACAGCGAGAGCACTGTTTAAATGGTGTATATTACGGAGTAGACTATGCCTCTACCCGTACGAATAATTTCAGATTCTTAAATTCGTACTCTGGTGCAATTAGCACAAGTCAATGAATGGAAAATTTTCATAAAATATATCTTACCCTATGTGCAGCAAGTGAGAGACCCTCCTCGCCTTTCCTTCAGAATGATCATGTTTAGAGCCGACTGCAAACATTGTCTGATACCATTACCACATTTTCTCACGAACTTTCAGGATAATCAAGTCTCATGTCTACCCAAGTAATTATGGAAATCTCATTATTGGGTACTTTATGTAGTAGACCGATTATACATTCAATCTATGACTTCTAGCTTGGCCAAGGTCATGTTGAACAGTGCAAACTCACTCACTCACTGCACTTTTGCAACGTCTCGGTTACCGTAAAATTTCTCAAACCCAATTGATTCAGCCTTGCCAAAATTTCATGGCCTTGCAATTCATTTAGCATTCTCGTCCTCCGACTACTAGGAAATACACTACCAATGCGAATCTGACAATAAGAAGCTCAAGCGGAGCTCTTTACGATATTACATCTCTGAAAATGGCAGCGTCATTACGCGCCGCGAGTTCCAATGTCTCTAACCGCACAGTTCATGTTAAAATATTCCCTTCTGCTAGAACATTTGCGGAGAGAAGAGAGGTGCTGAGGGTTTTGGAGAGGTTTGGGGAGGTTACTATGTTTAGGAGTTTGAAGGTTTGTATTTCCGTTCCCAGTTTGCATGCAGTGGGAATGTAACATATCCTGACCCGAATAAAAAGCATCACCCAATATCTCCTGTCCAGAACGCATTCATATCCATCTTCAGCTCCGCGACAGCGGCACAGGAAGTTATCAATGCAAGCCCTGTGCGATATCGACTGGTTGTCGAACCGGATCCGCAAGCCTCTCCCACGGTTCCTTCTGATGAAAGTACGTCTCCACAAAACCCAAATGAAAAGGTCTTCTCTCTTTCTCTGAACATTACTCGCTACACCCACGACCAATATATTTCTCATCCCCTCACCAACCCTCTTTATGGTCCATTCAAACCTATTGACCCGAAGAGATCTGGAGTCACCGCGCATTTGAACAAAGGCTTAGAACCTAGTATGTGGAGTAAAGGTTTGGCGGATTGGGATAGTGATGCGGGGAAGAGGAGTGCATGGAATGACGAGGACAATGATGGAGGTGAAGAAGGAAAAATCTTAAAAAAGAGGAGGAACGATTCGTCAAGTTCGAGTGTACCTTTAAGATTGGTTGAAAAAGATTTGGAGGCTCGAAGGGAAAGAAGGCCGAAGGTTATGGAGGGATTGGCGGGGTTAGTTGGAGAGGGACATCAGTGAGTTTCAATATGAGAGAAATGGCGTTCTATTTGAAGTATAGAGTACAGACTGCAGATACTAGCCACGGCCTTGTGCTAGGAAGGAAGTACTTCCTATTTAGGTTTTGTGGGATGAGGAAGAAGATTGTCAGGACAACAACTCAAGTGCTGAGGTTGGTCCAATTAGAAAAGTCGCCAAATAGCTGGCATTTAAAGGTCGACAGGGAAAAAGTACTTGCAAGAGAAGCAAGATGCTTCCTATGAATAAGGACTTCCCGAACTGTATAACATATACACATTTGTACTGCTGGTGTTCCTTGGGTCACGAAAGAAACATATATTTAGATTATACATGCCCATCGCGGTATATATACCATTGCCAACCTGGGCGTTATGCGTCATGAATCTGGACGATAAGTAACCAGCTGTTGCAATTAGTCTCTAGTTGATTGTTGGCCAGATTTTGCAATATAAGTAGCAACAACGATCTCTCAAGTTAGTTTTCTCAAAGAAAAAAAGAGTACCACAATTCAACCCCTCAATCTGTCCTCTCTAGCTAAGCTTCTTTAACTTGCGGCGACCATTTCCGAGTTGACTGCAATCCTCAACACATATTTCACATCCCTTAACCTTCCAGCCCCATCTTTTGATAGTTTAGGACCAGCTTGACTTTTCATTTCCCCACAAGAGAAAGATGTCTCAAAAGCATACTCAGACATTTTTAACGCTACCATGGGCCTACACCAATCGATGCTGGGGCCAACTGCTGCATTGATGGGCATTTCGGTCTGTTCATTTCCATCTGACCGGTATCCATCAAATCTAATAAGAGACTAATGAACTGTTTGAGTTGGGGAATGGTGATGGAAGAGAATATTTGATGGAGGTGCTTCGGAAGGGGAATATCGTTGTAGCGGAATTTAGGGAGTTCCTTTCGACATCTTTTGTAAGATGCACATGATACCAAAGACAGAAGATATATGAAACCAGGGCTAAGACCACAATCTATAGGTAATCATTTTGGAGTCTAGTGTTCTGATAACCTGGAGCCAAAGCGTAGAGTGACTTTTAGAAAAAATATTGGTATCTCAACGTAGAAGTTCTACTTTCCATCAACCACGTTAGCTGAGCAGCTGAGGTGAGGCGGTCATTGTTTGGAATAACATTCAATGGCAAAATTGTCCACAATACTCAATATATATTTTTGAAAATTGCGATCCAGAGAAAACAAGAATTCATTTTACTGCCGCCTATTGCTATCTATCCCTATCTATTATTCTACAGATTCGCAACAAATTTCAAACAATAAGTCTACAAGGCTCTGCCAATCAGCTTTGGTATAGCCAGGCTAAAAACATCATTCGGATCGTACATCCACTTCAACTCAAGCAAGTTACCATAATTCGGACCATAAATCTTAGACAGTGATAGCTCGCTTTGTCGAGTCAAGGAAATATACGTCCCCTCCAATATGTTTTCTGGGTTTGTTCTTTTAAGCTCTCCTAGGAAGTTCTCCCCCCATCTGTTTGCATCTTCGAGGCTTTTCATATCAGGTACTATTGGTAATATTTCAAGTATGAAATGCGGCTCTCTTGCCGCAAAAACAGCTGTGAGATCTGCCTTTGTTGATATTCCACGGAGTTCCTGCATGGAAAACCCCAAGCAATCCCCCGGCATTCGCCTTGAATTCCTAGCTAAAACTGTCACAATATCTGGTGTTATGCTCCGTACATTTAGTGTAAGAGGCTTGCCATATCCGCTAGTAGGAAATCCAGTATTGGAATCCATCCATTGAGAGATTGTAGTGGAGATGACTTCATATTGGCTGACAGGCGCAAGTGATTTGATATGAGCCAGCAATTGACGCCCAGTTCCAATATCTTCAGAAGCCCACATGAATAGAACTCCGAATACCTGCCCTTGGGAGCTTGGGAAGATTGATTGTTGGACTGTCAGTTGTAGAGGCAGTCCTCGAGCGGATAGCTCTTTGAATCTGCTGTTAAAGATCTCTACCGTTTTTGATATGTCTTCTGATTCGAAGACGATCTTTCCAGCAAGAACCTATCAAACTGTCAGTTTTGTTTCTTTGTTTGAACCGAAAAGGGTGGCAAGACCTTTTGCAATGGATAAACCTTGATTCTTAGCTCAACAATAATCCCTAATGCGCCACCTCCACCTCTAACAGCTCGCAATAACCCATCTTCTCCTTCATCGTCAGAGTCTTTGATCTCTCCGTCAGAATCAACAACTTTCACACCAATAATCTGATCTACACCTAATCCATAAGCAGCACTAAATGGACCATAACCACCATACATCGCCCATCCTGCGTAACCCATAGATGGAATAGCTACTACCGGCGTCATCAAGCCTTCTCTACTCAGTTCACGAGCAAGATCTCCCTGGAGAACACCTCCTCCAATGGCTGCAGAATGGTGGGTGGGTGAAACGCGGATTGATGCGAGGCAGCGAAGATCGATCGCTAAAGCGGAAGACGAAAATTCGGAACCAAAATAAGAATAGCCGCCACAACGTACTGTAATTGGGATCTGATGGTCTGTGGTAAAACATATCAATGCGGATACGTCTGCTATTGTTGCCGGTTTCACAATGGCAAGTGGGACGATAGCATTTGATAAGCAGAATGTTGAGCGCGCAGCTGCATATTCTGGAGAGGTGGGAGTTACCAATCGAACATATGGGAGACGAGTTTGAATGAAACCTTTAAGGATAGAAAGATGTACTGATGATTGCGACATCGCGAAAATTTTCAGAGGGAACAAAAACAGAAGAACCGGGAGATGCCACACTCGGAGAAGAGATTGTCAAACTCATCTTTCCACGAGATTATAAGGGAACATATAGCTTCTTGCATTTGGGCTTGAAGATCTCATCAATACTACGCAGGAGGCTATAACATACACTTTTGGGGGTTTTAAGAGCTCGATTCATGCTTCAGGTACGCTCCTCGTATCCCACTACTAATCCAACGAAGCATTACCCTATCACGTGAATGCATTCCTATCACAACAACTTCAAAACATAACAAGTCCCATAAGAAATAGGATGCAAGTAATCACCAACATTCCTGATAGTTGGAGAATAATCTAACATTGTATTAATGATCGATGGAGAAAATCGTAGGAATGGAAATAACATGTGTCTTACATCAGGTAAGGTTCCATGCTTACTTTTTGGTTTCGAAAATGACGATGTTCGCATGCGGCGCTTCTTCGCTTCTATTATGATAGTTTATTAATAGCGCCTTTGCCGCGGCGTTGCAGAAAAGTTATGGTTCCATCTGATTGCTGCCCGCTGCCCTCCATTCGTTGCCCGCCACCAACTTCATCAGCCTTCAATCTTGACCAGTCACAACAATATAACTTCCGTGGAATGGGCTCACGTTGGAATACCAAGGAGTGTTTCACATCGTGTCGGGTAAGTATTTAACATTCAACCATGCTACTACTAACTATAGCATGTCCTGAATCTCATTCTTGAACCAACACATCCGCAATATCAGTTATTTTTGACTGAGATCATGTGTACGAATATGGTGGATCATAGAGGAAGAGATTGAAATTGAAAATCGCTGAGTAATATTGGTATCAACAGATTGTCCCTTGACTTTGACAATCAGACTGGATGCAAGCTTTCAATGCCGAAACTAATCAAAATTTGAAGTGCGCTCGTCACTTTGAGCGATTTTATTGTTTCGATTGGAGTCAGGAACCAAGGACTTTTCTTGTCAATCTATACCCCAGGTTATTGGAAGTCTGAGGCCGACAAGGTCGTCGGTCTCCATTGCCATGTTTTTGGTTTGGGACCCAAGTGGATATAATTTTCCCTTCCCAGAGTCACACCGCCGAGGATCAGATATCAGATTTTGTGGCACGACCAGTGCGGGGTTCAAATTCAATCTGATCTTCAATGTTCTGCAAAAAACTTTAGTTGTCTCATTCAAGTCAAGATATTGACATGTGGAGGTCTCACTTTACCAGCAGAAGGAAGCTTAGTAGCAACTTCTGTTGAAAATTTTGTGACAAGGGATATGGGTCGGAGGAAGCAAACATCAGTCAGGCATTCTAAATCACCAATCTGAGCAATGTCTGGTGACGACAGAATCTTTTAAATTAATCTTTCATTTCAATTTGTTTCCGCGACAACTTCAATCTCCACTTTTGCGGCTTCCTTTGCCAATCTCACAATCTGCACGCAAGTGCTCACCGGGAATGGCTCTTTGACCGATTCACCCCAGATTCTTTCTACTGTTCTAAATTAGGCAAGTTAGCAGAAGGTCCCCTATCATCCTCTTCAGTTCTCCAATTGCTCCCCATAAGACCACAACCACCAGAGCGTCAAAGTTAGAACTCACTTCAAATCTCCCATATCCACCAAAAATACACGTCTTTGTACCACCTTATCCAGTCCGCTTCCACTGGCCTCCAAAATAGCTTTCAGATTCCTCATAATCTGCGTAGTTTGCGCCGCTACTCCTCCGGAAATTATACGTCCATCGCCGGGTAAATCCCCCATCAAACCACAAAGATAGACTGTAGATTTGTTGGACGGAATCGTATTGCTATGAGAATAATTTCCATTCGGAGGAGCGATAGTCGGGATTGTGAGAGCGGTGCGAGAGGGTGCTCGCTCGTGGATTTTGTTGGATCTGTAGGAACCGGTTGTAGACGACATTGTTACTGCGATGATAATGATTTATTGTTGGTGAGTATGTTATGCTTTCAGATGTTTAATTGAGGTTGATCTGTGAGACTTTGAATGTTCTTGTTTGTTCTAGACCCTTGAAATTGCTATGACGTCACATTATAAATTGTGGTTAATGGCTTCTTCACACCATCCAATGCTGGCAGTTTCAGCCGCTGACACATGATTTCATCTCGGGTACATGGGTATGCTATGTTCCAGTGATTGATATTCTTGATTTATTTTAACGGCGAGTTATTATCACCAACAAGATATGCCAACTATTGTCAAACACGGAAGTATCAATCTATCGCTGTTCGATCCCATCTCTTTTTCGTGGTTTCCACAGTCATCATCCAAATCCAGAGTTGGTAGTAACAAGGCCGAGTTTACGCCTTCGATGCTTATAATTGCAATGTTGCAATGACATCCATGCCATGTATCCAAGTGGTAACGTGGATAGAAAGAATTCTGGAGAAAGAAGACGTCAAACACAATGGGTGCCGTATGGCGCCGCCATAAAATCAACAACACTTCTGTCTCCTCGAACAGTCCCGAAGTTTATTCATCAGTATTAAATCAACACATACTTCCCGAATCATCACGACAGAGGATAGCCAAAAAAAGCCGCTGTTGATCCGGGAATGGTCAAGACATAGTACCGTTTTCATGTCGTGGGCTTCAGACTATCTAGAATCCGGGCCGCTAGTATAATATTGGAACTAGTTGTTCATTGATGCGATCATTCCTACCAGTATCGCTGAGCTATCAAGTACTTGTAAGTATCACAAATACATTCAATGATGGAACAGGCTCGGAAGAGGACCTTGAATTGAAGCTTTTGGATGAAAACCTCCTTGATCATAAAAAGCATCCGAGAGATTTGGAGTTGGAGTTGGAGGTATTGATGGAAGGCATTCTTGATCATCTGTGGGGACCCAGAACTCTAGTGTTGAGAGCGTTGATGAAGGCCCCTTTAATCATTGGGAAAGATTGAACATCCTATTTTGAGGTTCAAGATGAGTTTGACTGCTCATTTTTCATCCCTTTTTCTCCCGAGATTCATTAATGTAATGGTTGTTTGCTGAGAAGAGAACCAAAGTGCTATCGAATTGGAGGGATTAGCGCAATATCTTTGGCTCGGTGTTTATCTTACTTAATTGGACCTGGTCGATAGTGCGATCTCGAGAGGGGATAACGAGTATGCCGTGGAAATATCTGCAATTCCGGTAAGTGGCTTGTCAGAACGCCAGATACTTGTTGATTCTTCGATTTTGAAATCAAACTTTATGACTGGAAGAAATAAATCCAGGTGCTAAAAAGCCCCGTGCACCTGGAGCCTATTCCAACATCAGATAGGCGTTGCTTCATGAAAGCCTCTGCTAGCGGTCATTCATATCCTATTTATAAGAGTCCTGTCACGAAGAGACTTTATTTTGATTTTGGTATCGGTATACTTGGCATTAAATTATGTTGAACGCTTCAAATTGCCTGGACCACAGTCCGATATTCTGAGATATTCTAGCTTGATTTCATCTGGGGCATTATTTCTGTTCAAGATTCTTGATTCTCTTGAAGAATTGAACTTGCGTGAAATGTTGAATCCATTTTCAGTGTTGAATCGCTATCTAACTGCGACAAGCTACATTCATTAGCCTACTAATCTAGACTACTAGATGTTCGGTCCCTAATTACTGAAAAAAGCAATGTACAGTCCTATCATGGAGCCATCAACCATTGCCATCACATCATCGTCAAAATTTGCGACGATTTGTTCAATTCTTGTGTGTATGAGCCTAGAAACTTCTGAATTTGACCACGACATACAAGTTGCTGGCATTATACACACCGAGTATGAAGTGTTTTATTAACAACAAAGAAATTTAGAATGCGACTTCGAAGATCATCAAATTTCTATAGGTAAATCTCCACATGTATTGTTAATGTAGTTGCATATATCATATATACCAATAGGGAGGATTTATAGCTTCTACTCAGCAATTTTCGAGATCCTGTGTAGCCATATGTATGCATACAAGTAACACATTGATTCCTTCCGGATCTGATGTAAAAGTGCCATTATAAAAACGACTAGGACGATGAAATCGCGATCAATAAATCCTCTTGGATTTTTTGACTCGAAGTTATTCAGTTCTTGATTTTTCTGTCCCATAACGAGGAAGAAAATGTTGGGCCTGTCATTGGGAGGTAATCGAGAAACACAACGAACCAAAGAATGTTACGAAGTTTCTCATGATTCCCATATGAGTACCTTGAAGATTCTCTACTTCCATCACACAAGCAAACATTATCTTAATCAACTGACATTCGGACTTCGGCTTGTTATGTAAGGTCTTGCATATTCTAAAATGCCACTCGAAGATTCCCAAGTAGCTGCCTATTTTTCCAGAGGGTGCAGAAAGTGAAGGAAACAGGCAATGTGAAATTTCTACACATCTTCCAGGCTGCGGGGCGACTCTTACAAGTATATAAGCGGCCAGCTCAGGAGGCTCGAGCTGCGTAAGACCTTCAGGTACACATTCAGAATTCTGGGGACTTCGCATCGCCCTTCTGCAACATCATAATGGTTGAATCACCTTCAGATAGGCCTCCCTCCATCATTGTTCATCTCATACGCCATGCTTCGGTTATATACCCACATACTGTTTCCTGTCAAGGGTGTATTTGGCTAACTCTAGTGTAGTCAAACCACTCGGAAGGTGGACTCGACTTTGGCTTATCTTCTAAAGGAGAACGCCAATGTGACGAGCTCTACGAAAGTATGCGAAAGCACGCAGGCTACATCACTCATGTTTTCTCTTCGCCTATGAAACGTTGCTTAGAAACTGCTCGAAAGGGTCTCCTTGAGGCGACGAACAGGGGCACCAGGATCCAAATCATGCCTGCTCTTGCCGGTCGAAATGGCCAAGCACCCTGGAATTTGCGAGAGGAAAATCAGGAAAATGATATCAGTGGTCCTTGGGTCAGTGAGGTAGCAGATCCTAGGTCAAAGTCCAAGGATGCTGACTTCGTTATGAAATGGTTGACAGGGAAAGATTTGTCTGTGCAGGCGGCTCAAAAAGTGCTGGAGGTTGTGGTTGTGAGTCAAGCTCAACTACTGAACGATTTATTATGGAAATTGAAAGGAGGTAGGTTACATAATATTAATATCTGAGCCCGATCCCCAGAATTCGTCCACTTACAGTCTGCAGGTAACCATGGTTGGCCCAATGCAACAATTGTCACCTATATTTTAGATCGTAACGGAAAGTGGACTCATTGTCGGCTCCAGAAGACTATTGATAAACAGAGAAATTCTCAACAAGATTGGAAAAAACAAATTGTAGAAGCAGCTAATGAAGAGCAAAGAAAACGAGAGGAGAAAACGAAGAAAGAGCAGGAAGAGTCTATTGACCGCGAAAAAGCAGAGAAAGATAAATTGAACAAACAAAAGCGGGAGTTACTGAAAACACAGGTTAGCTTTTCCTGTTCTATTGAACCTAGGGCTTGCTCAAGCAAGTGGCTGATACTAAATTTTCAGGATTTCATGCTCGTGATTGATCGCGAAACCGATGAAATCGTTACATTCGGGAGGTTCCAAGAACTACTTAAGGAGCGATATGCAAAAGAATTCTCATCAACAGCGAAGCCTGTTGTAAAGAAATCAAAGCCGGTTGAAAGGAATGGTAACGGAAAGCCCGTTGTAAAGAAAGCGAAGCCGGTTGCGAAGAAATTGAAGCCTGTACAAGGGAAAGTGAAAGCAAAGGCTATTTTAGAGAAACCCGAGCCTGTTACCAAGAAAAGAAAACGAGGATGACAACAAGAAGGCGTCTGTTGCTGAACTATCTTGAGCACTGCTTAGCCAGCGACTGACCAGACAGATTCCAATTCCTAGCGGTTGTCTCAAACACCAGTGGGCTTGAGTTCTATTTATAGCTTGGGCCATTGTCGGAATCCGGGGTAGCTCTTGATCTCCTGGTTTGCAATTGGATTGTGCACCTGTGTAGGTTTTTACCATACCTCCATACCTTACCTTCAGTGTCTTTTGGATAAAGAACCAAGTAAATACTAAACATCATCACTCTCCCAACACGGAAATCATGAGATTGAGTGATCATTACCTGTGATATGTGAACTGATTAGTTGCAGAATCCGTGGGGTAAGAAGCAAAGGATGTGTCGTTCAAATTCTTATTAGTCGGCAACTTTGGCTAGCACTAAACTTAATTTCTAGCCACCAAGCGCTAAAAAGTAACCCCGGAAGCACTAAATCCAACCTGAACATTGAACATTCACTCACAGGGGCAGAATTAATCGGAGATTCTACGACCATGGAGCTTATTACAACAACAAAATGTTTTGTAGAATTGTATTATGGTCTTAAATTCCTCATGGTCTTGAATCCACTATGCTCGCGTCAATACTCCTGTGTGAATCCTTCAAAAAAGGTCCTTCAAGGATACATATACAGAGTTACATCGACAAGATGTGATGGAAGCAGACAGTATGCATTGGATAGTAACGGACATCAGTATTATAAAGCTTAGGAGTGGGATCCTGTGCCACGACAGTACTTTGGGGCTGAGTGTGACGGTTTAGATTCGTTGGAGGCTGACTCGAGCCTTTGCAATTTCCTAGTGAGTGAATGGTAAGCACTATGTTTCGTGGGAGCGGCTATGCGTAAAGTTTCGTATGTGCTGGATTTAGTCTTGGGGGTCAAAACATTTTTCTTTTTCTTTTCCTTTTAATATTCCGTTTACAAACTCTCTTATTTCCCTCTAAGTCTCTTGAGCTTTCACACGTTTGTTTGAGCATTCGAAAAAACTATCGTTCAGTATGAACACCAACGCTCGTCGAAGAGGTGCGAAAGTCGCACCATCCCACTATCCCCGCATCGCATTTCATGGATTACGTTTTGCGCAATTGATTTCGGCGACGATTGTGGGAGGTATTATGGCATATTTTATGTATTATTTGCGTACGTACATATGCATATATGCATCGCCTTGAGAATCGATGTGAGAGAAGAATGTGTGCTGACAAGCATCTAGGAGCTGAGCGAATTCCAATCCCATGGACTTTTATTGTGCTCTTTTCGATATCGCTTGCGACGGTCGCTGTCCTAATTCTTACGATCATCCTCTATAATTTTACATATTTGTCGCCAAAATTCAATTGTTTGCTGAATGGTACGGCGTCAATTTTTTGGATGTTGGGCTTTGCGTTGTTGAGTTGGAATCTCAGTAATACGTTGAAGAAGAGTTGTGATTTGCAGACTTGGAGGAGTGGTGTAGCAATCAGCGTCTGTAGAGAATACAAGGCTCTATGGACATTTACTTTGGTTGGGACTTTGTCTACATTGGCGGCACTAGCTTTGGACATTTGGACGCACAGGAAGACTACTGAGAGAGGCGTTTATGTTTTGCCTGAGGATGATAAAAATGCGGCCATGTTGAAGGATATGAATGGTAAAAACAGTCAGACCAAAGGGTATGAACCCAGTCGGGGAGGAGCTTTCGAAGAGGAAATCGATATCGCTTACCACAATCGATATGGTGATGACGCATTGGAGAGTGTGGGATATCATGACAGAGTGCTTCACAAATAGTTGAGGCGAGAATACGATGTAACGAGGATGATCAGATAGGAAAGAGGTTGTGTGACCACTGCGCAACTTATCTCATGAATACTAGATACTAAATTGCATAACTTTGGAATATACTTCATGTTTGTGAGACTGCGTAGCCTTCTGCGTAGGTCGACTTCTTACAGAATAAGACTGTGTAGTATAATTTTGAGTAGTGCGGCCACGCAGAAGAATGAGAAAATAAAGTCAATATCTATTCACACGAAACGGAAGGCTAACCAGTTCGCCTCTCGAGTTTCCCCAGTACTCAATCCGAGCATCTTCTAAGGCTCATCTAAGCTTTCCCCACATGCGTCTTCATAATGAAAGAATAAAAGCAGCTTATGTTCCACGACATATCTCAGGAAATGAACTTCTCCATGGGAATATGGATGCTTTTCATCTATCGCTAGCTGCGGCATCGCAAACCTTCAACCAACAACCTCTTTCACGGTGAAATTCTACCGGAGCGTGAAAATCGTTCCGGAAGGCTTGTGTTGAGCAAAACCTTAATTTTTCTCATGGGCACACCTTGCCCTGACTCATTGGGCCAAATGGAATACCGCAAATACGAATTACCAATTCCGGTATCTTACCTGCGGGTGAAAGATGCGATTTCTGTCAAGCATCAGTAGCAAGCTTCATCGATTCAACATCTACCTTGCAATGAGCAGTTGGGATCTTTGATTGATGTCACGGGCAAGAGCGGGAGACGTGCCGAGAGCGCTCCATTTTGCTGTTCTAGGCCTGAAATTATTAGTATGAGACCAACAAGTGTCGGCACTTGATTGGAATTTGGGAATATGCAGATGAGATTGATATATTGGAAAGATAGAATAGTGAGATTGGCACCCGGTTCACGTCGTATTATTATGGAGGCATCCATCAAATGTACCATGTTACCGGCCAAAGAGAGGCTCTAAAACACGAGACAGGTCACATTGAAAGCGAAAGTTCACATGATTCGCTGGTGGAAATCTCACGGAGAAGGATGAGACTGCCGGCGGAGACCTTCCACATTTCCTATAGGGCTGCGACGTAGCGACAGAACAGGATTGTTCTCGGTGGTTACTAGAATCAATTTCTCTTCTATGATTGGGCTGTTCGGTGTACGAAGGCAAAAGAGGAATTGGCATTATTACGGTATCCATGCGCTTTATCAGATCCACCACTCACGAGTCTTCAAAAACGTGTGATATTTGACCATAGGTTACCAAGATATCGGATCACGTTGAAGAATGAATAATTGAGCCGTCTTACATTAGTAAAACCGGTAAGCCATGCCCGCAATTAAGCTTTCCATCAGGTAGGTGAGTGGACTCGAAGCGTGGGTAACAGGTATGTTGACCAAAGTAGCATTATATATCGCCTGTGTAGCTTTATTCTGACAATCTGATGGAAAAATTGACGGGTTCCTTTGACTACACATAGCATGGGGGCGAAGAAGCCCTAGTATTATATGGTGGTCAGCATTACCTGCACAACCTTGGAAGCCTATCTAGGTATTCAAAGTGACGAATTAACACGAATGGCAATAGTTATACAATAACCTCAGGAATCCGGTTGCTGCACAATTGTTCATACCTATCACAGGTTATACTCGCTCTATATTCTTGGGAAACATAAGGTTCTATACTGCAAACATTAGACTTTCATTCAGAGATCTTCTTTTTGCCAAGCACGGATAAAGTCATCTTCTACAATAATTCACCCTAATCAGGCATCTATGTCCGATTACTCCTCATTATCAGGGCCTGGAACGGCAAAATCATCGAAGGAGGCTAAAGCAAAGTCACCGCATCGATATAGAATATGCGGAACACCTGTTCGAACGGGTTGCAGGACTTGCAAGTAAGTGAACTTATCGTCGAGCTTCTTTGAGAATTCCACTCACATTCATAACAGGATTCGTCGAGTCAAATGTGGAGAGGAAAAGCCATTTTGTAAGAGGTGTACTTCCACTGGACGGCATTGCGATGGATATGAGATTATCACAGACTTGACAAAGCGGAATGCCACAAAGAGAAACCCTTCCATACCGTCAGGTGTGCAGTCTAATACGCTCGAAGATCCTTTAGAATCGAATGTGTTGGATTTCTTTCGTACGTATACAGTAGCCGAGTTTGCCGGAGACTTCTCTACTGAATTCTGGGAAAGGAGGATTTTTCAAGCTGCTACCATCGAGCCGTCAATCCGTCACGGTATTCTCGCATTGGGTGCCATCCACAAAAATTACACCGAAACCTACCAGGAACCTCAGACCATAGCTGAAAAACCAACACCGGCACAAGCTTTTGCTTTCCGCCAATACACTAAAGCCATTCAAATTTTGCGTCAATCAATAGTCCGCGAGCCTCACTCACTAGACATGACATTGATTTCATGCATATTGTTTATCTGTTTCGATTGTCTCGTTGGCGATCAAGCCGCAGCATTGGTTCATCTCAAATCAGGACTGAAGATTCTCGACGATATACATGCCACAAATGCCCCCTCCTCAACTGCAGCACAATGCGCACGGGACTATTCCCCACTATTGTTAGTACTAGGAGGACAAATTGCCGCATTCATCAATCCCAAAGCTGGAGTAGATAGAGGAGCATTCTGGGCAGCAATGAAACGAGCCGGTTGCTCAACTTCCCAATTCACCCCTTTCCAGTCACTTGAAGAAGCTCGCTATTCATTACGAACTCTTGGGGCAGACATACTGCATGCACGTCACACAAATTGGAACTACGTTACTGAGGAAATAGTCACAAGTGAATTTGGCCCCATGGTACGAAGCCACTACTTGGCGTTAGAGAATTGGTCAAATCGTTTGAACGCATTCATCGAAAGAACTTCATGCAATCAAGACACAAAAGCTGTTTCCCCCACAAGACCAATCCGCATTCGCGGTGTATCATTACTCAGAGCCCACCATCTTCTCTTCTCCATGAACGCCGCAGAATCGCATACGCCCGGATCCAAGTTCGAAGAAATGCTCGATCTAACCGAGGCGCTGGTTCTAGAAGACAAAGCTTATTGGAGATCGCAATCCATGCCAAGGTTCATGGTTGATACTGGATTCATTGTTCCATTGGTGTATACAGCAGTTCGCAGTGCTGATATTCAACATAAAAGAAGAGCAATCGAGATCTTGGCACAGGCGCCTGGAAGAGAGGGGTTGTGGGATACGCAGTGTGCGATTGATATTGTAGAGGGAGAGCTGGCCGCTGCAAGAGGCCAGAGTCCGAGACTGAAGATTCCGTATTTTCATGATTAAGAAGGGAAAAATTGCAATGGTGATAGGGCATGTTTTCTGTGTGGGTTACAGAGTAGGCCAATGTTTCTATCACATGGATGATTGGTCGATCGACCCATAGGCCATAGGTGCTGATTTCAGGTACGTGATACCTGTCACTGAACATACCCGTCTCAATTGAGATACATGTATTGATCTGAATATGGGTGGAAGGATTCCAGGGTGCATTTCCGTAGCCCTCTGTATTTTTCTTTGTGCTTGTAAAATACCGGTGTTATATTATAGATTTCAACAATCTTTCCTTCGTCATCTATCAAGGGAAATTTACAATGTGAGATGAATCTCTTTTTGAAGTATATACTCGTGGTAGGGTTTCTGAGGGTGTATGAGTGACATACTGGGCCCTTACGAAGTATAACCCCAAACTGAAGCCAAGCGATAAAGCCCCTAAGCCACTCCAACCACCAAGATTTCCACCACATCTTGGCATCAAAATAAACGCAACACAAGTTCCTATTTTCGAATCCTCTTAAACTCAAAACTCCATGACGACAACGGTACATTACTCAGTAGACTACCGGAAGGACCCTTGGACCTGTGTACTCGTCTGCCTACAACGATCTCCATTCAAACCGTAACCCACTAACTTACCAAGAATGATTTTACGTAGGGTTGCTGGGTTTCCAACAGGGGGATTGGTGACAGAAGAGTGGGATTGGTAGATAAGCTTAAAGAATCTGCACGGTGATATATACTCCGTAGGGGTTGTTCCTTGATATAGCCCGTAACTACAAGCTACCGGTATGTAGATGGCAAGCAGGGCAGCACACTTGAGCTTTCAAATCTCCAGCTTATGGAATTTGTATCAAACCATCAGTTGAAAACTGCACACTGTACAGTAGGTGGTTTATGTGCGACTTTCTTAGTGCCGTCAGAGGAGAGTATCTTGGGCATAGCTATAGCTAAAGAGAAAATGAAGAACGATAATGCTATACCAATAAATAGTTATAGAATGTACGCATAATGTACTTCGAGAGCTATCATATTGTTTTCTTTCAGATACACAACCTACAGCTGCGATATGCCTCACCGTCAATCAATTTCCCAATTGAACCAATTGAAAGAAAATGACGATCCAATCATCGGGAATATCTGACGGGGGTCCTAGTTTCAGTGTGGAGCTACGCCGCACAGCACCCTCGCTGCAACGTGTTTTGGGCCCTCGGCATGGTATCTGCAGATGCAAATTTCCAACAATAGCACAGAAATGGGTTTCTAGGTCGCTGGCCCTCCATTTGTTACTAGCAAGGGTGGAATTTTGTACGGAAAAAAGTCGATAGAGAGAGGAAGAGAGATGGAAGGATTCGATCGTTTTCTTGTTCAGCTACCATGTAGTTGTTTTTGACCAGGAAGCTTTTTTTAGTCTGCGAAATTAAGAAGTCTGTTTCATCATGGTGTATACTGCTCTCAGCCTTATCGCACTCGTAGAGTTACATTGCGATTTTGATATTGCTGATAAAGATCTAGAAGTGTGATTGAAATTTGGACGCGAATTGGCAGCTCTAGAACTACGCATCTCTCGAAATGGCGGCGAGGTTTTCGAGATTGTTTGATGATTGGGATCAGGATCATAGGGATATAACTATGCTAGAGTATGGGTAAGGAAAGCTTAAATTTCTTCTTTAGCTTTCGGCGCATTGACTGAAGGGGAACAAATTGTCATCGGATGAACACTAGATTGAATATTTGTTTGCTAACACTTCAATTGGTGTTTTGACAGCTCTAGTGTTAACGACTCACCACCCAGATATCATTCTCCGCAAAACAATACGGAATATACATCTCCATCAGCAGATCTATCCGAAAGGCCAAATCTACCAGAACCAGCCCTCGAGCCTACAACTCCCTTTTCACCATTCGACAATGGGATATCATCTCGACGTTTACTGGATGGTAGAGGTAGTTATGCCTCTAGTTATAGCCCATCTTTTCCCTCCGCACACGACTATCAAGCTTTGAAAGATGTAGGTCGAGATAGTCTTGGAGATGATCCCTCTCCGAGTGAAGCACGTTTGCGAAATGGTTCTGGCGTGACTTCAAATATGAAGAGAATATGGAGCAAATCGACAGCTTTTACAAAACCCCGTCTTCAATCTTCATTTGATGGACATTTTGCGCAGGGAAAAGACGGGTGGTGGAAAAAACAAATGCTGGTGGATCGAAGTTTAAGATCAATGGCGGGGTTTACGCTTCTTTGTGCTATTATCATGTTCATCATAATGGTTGCGTACTTGCCTGCTTTTAATTCTCGGTTGAACAAACAGAGTACGAGTGTGGGCGGGAAGGAAGGGGAAAGCTGTAAGAGTATGGAGAGTAGGAATATTGTGAGTGAGATTGTTACGTAGAAGGGCTTGGAAAGCTTGCTAATGAATCATTTGTATAGGCTGTTCATCTTTTCATCAACATTGCAGCAACGATGATTTTGGGCTGTTCAAATACTTATCAGCAGTTAGTAACTGCTCCGCTAGTTGAGGAGATTCCATTCATTCTCTCGAAAAATGGTGATGCAAAATGCGGTACAAACTCACCCTGGAATATCAACGTTAAGAAATCAGGAAAACTAAAGGCTTGGGGATCATGGTTATTACTTATTTGCACTTCAATTGTATGTTTCAAGCGAGCTCTTGATGAAGGGGTACTTTTATTGATTGTTTCACAGCCAATTCATTTCCTCGCAAATTCGGTCATTGGACCATCGTTTTATGTTGAGATGCCAACGAATGTTACGTATTTGTACAATCAAACTTTCTCTTTGAATTCTTATCAAACGTACTACTACGATACGTCTTACCATTTGACATCGTATGATTCTGCATGCGTAAGTCGAACTTCTTCTTTGGAACCTGGGATTTTGACAGTCTGGATTGCGAGCCTACAAAGGGAAGTCTCATCTGAGGAGTCAATCAGATTGTTCACATCAGTGATACATGACCTAGCCTTTTCTTTTCTTTTCTTTTCTTTTCTTTTCTTTTCTTTTCTTCGGAAATTCTAATTTGACATCCAGTCTGTTGATTCTAACCGTTGAACATCCGGAACTAAATCAACAGCTAAGCTTTCCCCGATTTTCGGTTGCCAAACTAACGAGAATCATATATAGTGGACTGCTTTTAGAGCCGGGTCATATGTTTTACCTAGCAACATGTCTCAATTGAGTGACCAATACAATACTGATACCCTCGGAAACTCGAGTGAGTACTCTCAATTCTGTTCTTAGAATCATCCACGATACTGACAAATGACTTGTAGCATCTTTTGAAACCGTTTTGGTCACCTACAATCAAAATTGTACACAATATAAAGGAACAGGGACTGTCGATGAAGCCCTGGCAGAGGTCAATTACACCGGATCGTATGCTTGGTCGGGCCAGTATTCCAAAGGGAACTGTGCCTTGCGACGAGGTGTTTATTGTGAACTCCAAGACCAGCTACCCAAGAAATGTCGATTGAATGTTCGGATGCAAGCTTGTTTCAGTACGTACTCCCTGCTGTCGTAAATTTATGGAATCATCATTCTGACGATTGTTAGCACTTTTCGGATGTCTCCTAATTAAAGCCATGTACATGATCGGACTGAATTATCGAGCTAGACACCGGGTTAAGAATCATTGCTTGACATATGGAGATGTGATTGTTGCATCTGTCATAAATCCGGATTTGAAAATACATAATGAATGCTTACTCAACTCTGGAGATGGTTATCGACATAAGGTGACACACCAGTGCCATAAGCATTGTAAAGATCCAATTCCTTCTCCGACGGGTGATGATATAGGTCACTGTCAGGTAATGTGATCTTGCCATTGCCTTCTAAATCCTACTAATCTCTCATCTTCCCATAGAAATGCAAGAAGTTCAACGAGACGGATAAAGCTGCTGGTGAGTTCTAACAATTTAGTCTGTATACATCTGCATCTGACACATCTAGATTTACCGCATCCAAGCATAGCAATCAAATACAAACGCTCACTCCTGTCCAATCTTGGTTCCACCGCTATAACTCAGATGATTATCCTAATGTTTTGCTCCTTCGCAATGGCTGGCGTCTCCATCATGCTCATTACTCTCATGGTCAGCAAGACAACAGATTACAACAACTACTGTCGCGATTCAAATTATAACCGCGAGTACTACAGAGAGTGTGGTATTTCACTCTCGCAAACTCTCAAGGAAAGCTTTGGAACCTGGGGAGGCTTTTCTTCTAGCGTCACGTTAGCAGCGCTTCCTTCTGACAAAATCAGTAGTGAATTGATTGCCTTTGCCATCTCCAACGGCGCACAGTTTCTTTTCAGTTTGCTTTACTTATTGCTCATTTACAACATCACTCTCATCTCCATGGAACACGAATGGGGCACCTTCGAGACCGAACGCAAAAAGCCCAGAGCGACAATCGTATCGGGGACCCCCTTTGAGCAATCCTACTTTCTGCAACTGCCCTCCAAAATTCTCCTACCTCTCATGACCTTTGCAGCAGCCATGCACTGGCTCCTCGGCGAATCAATCGCAACCTTCGAATCCATCTACACGGATCCCGCATATGGAGTTGAACACTCGGTCTACTATGTCACGTATGCCGCGTATCCGATCTTTCTGAGTACGGTGTTGATGATTGGCCAGACGGCGATTTGTTGGTGGGCTTTTACGTATAGGAGAGAGGGGTTCATTCCACAGATGTATGGGAGCATTAGGGCTTGTTGTGCTAGCACGAGTGAACTTGAGGATTTTGGGAGGGGTGGGATTCAATGGGGAGATTGTAAGTTTTCTTTCCTTTTTTTTCCCTCGCACTTTCGCTTTTGCTCTTGCTCTTGCTCTTGCAGTGAACCTTGACTAATTTGACGGGGGGCGATAGTGGGAATGGGTGAAAAATTTAGACATGCTGGTTTCTCGGCTGATGGTCAGTCCCTTTCTCCTTTTTCCCATCTCCGATATCTCTATCCCTACTCCCTCTCATTCACCTATCCCCCCTCAGATTTGTTCATCTGCCCATACGTGCATACTAACCCTCTCCCCTCTAGAACCGGGTAAAATCATCCCCGCAGAACTCTACTGCGGTCGTGGGTAACAACCAATTCCCACTCCCCAAATCCCAATTCCCAATTCCCATGTATAAATATAAACATATACAACCCCACGGGTTTAATGTACGATACGAAGTTACGATTGTTAAATAATAGATGGATGTTTTGTTTTTGTCTAGTGGTTGATTTGTGAAGTGGATGGAATGGGATGAGATGAGATGAGATGAGAGTATACCTAGGTAGGAACTTTGTATTTACATCTCATCAGTGTTCGCATGAGCTAGCAAGCATCAGGAGATGAGGAGAGAATGTAAGAATATCAAAGTATGATGTAATTCTGAGATGCAGATGGCGAGGGAGGTAGGTACAAATCGTGTTTGATCCGACGAGAACTCTTCCTGTCTTGTATCTTTATTGAACGTAGTGTTGGTATAGAATTATTGGTGGTATGGAATTATTGATGCTTAAATGAGTTATGTGTTCATCGTTAAACCATCACTCAGTGATTGTCTATCATCAAGACGAGATGAGGAAATCCTCCAATTAAATCCATTCACTACGTTTTTGTAAAATTCAGGAGACGCGACGGGATATACTTTTTGATTTCATTTGGATTGATCCATCTCGTTGTATGAGATGCGAGAATTATTAGTGCAAATGTGAGGAGTTGTTTGGTTGGATATTGGATATTGGAGAATAGAGATTGAATTTATGAGTGGGAATGGTTTGCTGCAGAGGAAAGACAAATCACAATGTAAATACAAATACAAATTCATGGAAAATATTTATTATTACTGCGATCTGTATCGCTGCTATGAAAAGTACGCAAGTAAACTAGAGTACACCAAAGCGCCAATATGTGATATGGTATCTCTCGCTTGAAAAGTACAGATGGTATAAAGGAAAAGAAATGTCGTCGCGGTCGTGTCATTATGTAAGTTTTCCTCTCCTCTCCTTCCATTACTAGATTGAGTTTCATCTAGTCCATCGATTCGCGTCCCAACTGTCCACTTCTTCATCTTCCTCCCATTTTATCGAAACCCTAGGCACTTCCCTCAATAGCAGAACCAGGATATCCCCTAGTATCTGCTACGTCTCTGCCAAAAGTGTCTCTTAGCAGGTCTCACACCCCCGACATATCCCTTCTCTCCAATGGCACTCCTCGTCTTCTTCTTGTGCATTCTCTTACTCAAACACGTAACAAATACCACGACTGCGCCCAAAAATCCCGCAATCATAGCCGCCAATGCACACCAGATACCCACGCTGAAATACGCGTGGCTTCCACTTCCATCTCCATTGACATGGTTTTTAATGATTCCAAAGAGCGCAAAATCACACGCCATCGCTACCAACGCAATGATGAATGCGATGCCGGAGACGAGAGCCGCGAGGAATGAACCAATGAGACCGGCGCCGAGTGCGAGGAGAAATGCAATAAACATTACTCCGCATGCGACGGGGTGGAGAATCATTACGCGGGTGAGGGCTTTGGTTGTGTCTTCGCTGGCGGTGCTGAAATCGGTGGAGTCGATTTGGGACATGATGGAGGCGGGGTTGTAGCCGATGTGTTTTTTGGTGCAGTAGTCGTTTCCATTTCTATTCGGGGGGGAGTTGTTAGTATGGTGTTTTTTTTCTTCTTGGGTTGAGATTTTCTCGTGTTCTCAATGAGATGAACACAGATGAGATGAGATAGAAGGGAAGTGAAGGAAGGGAAAACTCACGAATCAACATCCAAAACACAATATCCAAAAGTACCAAATGAAACCACGGAATTGTGGGAATCGGTTCCGTTTGTCAATTTGACCTTCATGATTCCGATATCATTGATGACGGGAGCGGAAATGGTAGTTATGAGGAGGAGGATGGAAGATGCGAAGAGCAGAAATGTACCGATGTGGTGGAGGAAACCGGTCGCCATTTTGAAGGATGGGGTATTGACTTGATGTTTGAGTGTTTCTTGGAAGATGTAGAGAGAAGAGAGGGAGAAATAAAATTAAGACCAAAGTCAACTAACTTTGACTTTATTCAAGTCTTGATAGATGGATGAATAGAAAATTACTTTGTCTGTCGATACTCTATCTCAAAAATAGGAAAAGGAAAGGGTCTCTTAAGCTTTTAATATACCTATCATATTCTTGTAAGCAACCCAATCTACTCAAGAGAAAGTGACATATGAAAGTGGTGCGTTGGTCGCATATCTTGATTCTTGATTTGAGACCTATTGGAAAGAAAAAAAAGGTTCACAAACAAGGAAATCTAATATTTGCATGGGTCGGTCAACAGGGTGGTGATGTTGATTGATTGGGCGTCTTTTTCTTGGGTGGTCCATCGTCATAGCTTTTGGCCTTGGTGATGGGTTGGATTGCATGTACCGGTATCCATGTTGAGAAGATAGGGACGTGGGTACCGAGGATGTGAATTGAGGGAGTGGAGAGTGAAGTGATTGAATTGAAGTGATTGAATGGAAGTGTTAGGAAGTTATGATATGTAGCGTGAAGACTGACGTGATTGAATGAATGTACTAGGAAGTTACTTTTGACAAGACACCCGTTTATGTCATCATGTCAGGTCAACGCCAACGTCAACTATTTTAGCCGATGTTGGGGAAGACTAAACAACGGGCGTACTAGATGAAGACTTGGTAGTGGTGGCGTGAGTGTCAGATGTTTGAATACTCCATGTTTTCTGCCGACTTTATTTATTTCTATTCGATGAATGCGATGAAGCAAAAGTATATCTTCATCGTGTTCATGTTCATCTCAGTATTCATTACTAGGTACTTGCCCGTCCGTCCTACCAAGTGTCACCTAATTAAAAATGAAAATAAAAATAAAAATAAAAATAAAAACTTGTCGGCCCCCCTGTAAGGCTGTACGACCCTTTATCTATAAAGGATCAAATGGCAACTAAATGACAAATGACGTCGTAAATTCAGGGGTTCATCTAGTGGCGTGGTCCCTACAGAATACCTAATAAATACCTAATAAATACCTAATACCTAGTAGTTACTCTTGTCTATTCACTATTCGGGCTTGCAAGGTCGAAAAAGAAGAACGTAGAACGAATTAAACTATTTCTCAATACTGATGATGCTTACTTGAAATTACCATGGGCTTGAGATCACTCGGAGATACTCCAGACGATTCTTTGCAGGAATGAGTGAATTCTCCGTCTTCAATCTTGAATTTGAGAAGTCCATGCTATGGCCAAAATCATTGGATTCTTCTTTACCCACAAGCTATGCGTCAGCCAGGTGTCCTATTAAATTCTATCGGTCGTGTGTCTAGTAACATTTGCGTCAAAAAGGCTAGCTTCGTCGTGCGATAGGAGATCATAACGTCTAAAGCCGCACCTCAGTCATCGCTAAGATCAAGTTGCAATTAAATTTCGTGCCCCATCAAATACATCATGAAAGAGGGATCAAGGAAGATATTATCACATTCTCTCGATCGCCAAACAACACTGTCATCATGGATTCGATGAATTGTGTAGAATCGTATCAGCCCGCTATCGCACTCGAATCTCATTCATAATACTGCGGCTCAAATCCGGAGCGAGGGGAGTTGGTGGAGCTTTTGCTTCTTGGGTCCAAAAAGAAAGACGGTACCATTTCTACTGTTCGCGACACTAATAAGCATTACCTACTTTGAGTACCAACGGGCAGCAACGGCGACTTTTCGAACGAGTGGGACAGCACTGACAAGCGGTTGTTCACTCACTCCGCATGCTTTCAAAAAATACCATCCCCATGTGGCCGGACCCTCAAACCCATCACCAAATCCCCATCAAACCCCATAATAAATCATCATGGCCCGCAAGGCTTAGATCAATCTATAGATTAAAGCTTATATCAAAGCCAAGACTGAGGACCCATCAAAATGAGAAGTTTGATAGTATCAACCTCAATGGCAGTTTTCAGCCAATATCATCCATTACATAGCACAGGGTTTGTGGGAGACCAGTGGATGAGGGTTTATATGCAGGGCAGGGCAGGTAAGTATGTTGATTACCTCTATATACTGCTCGCTGAAAGCGTTGTTGTCGTTTATTGTACAAACATGGCACCCATTCGATAACAAGTCTTTTTTGAACAATTACATATGTTTCTATTCTATCATGGCCCAAATATCATTATCAACAGTGTCGCGCATTGTCAAATCTCGCTTCAAAGTCTTATGTACAGAATGAAAACTCCTCATTGGAATCAGTCGATACACCTCACAGCTTATTGCTCACCGAATATTCCACCACACGCTAACCTTCACCAACCTTTCTCAACTTAAAATATACAACATGAATGTCAATCTATGTACAAAAATACCCCCGAGTTTCATTCCCCTAAGTCAACTTAAGTAGCGCTTTCGCATTCTCGTATGCCAACTTCGTCTTGGTGAGTGTGTTCATCTCCAAACGGTCAAACCACCCCGCAATCTCCACTGTATCCTCAAATGGATAATCAACGCTGAACATCACTCTATCCTCTCCTGTTCTCTTAATCGTATCCACCACTGTTCCTGCATCTTGTACACCCGCAGTGGTAACCCAGAAATTGCGAAGCCAGTACTCTTCCATCGTAAGCGTACTGTTGAACAAATCTTTATTGAAATGTCTCAATCGCTGATCGATACGTGGAAGGAAAAATGGAAGTCCCTCTCCACAATGTCCAAGCACAATTTTAAGAGTAGGATATTTATCCAGTGTTCCTGATACCATGAGACGGAGAGCATGAGCACCGGTCTCGGAGGAAAATCCCCAAGGAGATGAACCCAAGAATTCATAGCCTTTGACGCTGAGAAGTTGGCTAGGCGCTGGCATACGTGGATGCAAGTAGATGGGAACATCTAGCTCGACTACTTTTTCGAGAAAAGGCTCCATGCTTGGGTCGTCGAGATAGACGATATCGTTTGCGGTACCGTTGATACCTCCATTGTTAGTGTAGCCTCCGATAAAGGATCCGACGCCTCCAAGTTCCTTGACACAACGTTCGAGTTCGGTGGCGGCGTTGGCGGGCTCTTGAAGTGCATTGCTACCTATTGATTTT